GAAGTTGGTTGTTTGAAAAAGCACCAAGAGAGCTTTGTAAATTGTACTGAAGGAGTCGTATATTCTGTCCCACTCTCATGTGGTAGAGAGTATGTACGCTAGACTGGAAGGTGTTTGAATGATCGTTTAAGAGAGCATTTTTATAACACCCACCGAGTCGTAGCTGGACACTTGGGAATCCATTGTCGCGATTGTGGCTGTATAGCACATTTTGAAAATTGTTCTGTAATAGGTAGGAGTAGAGACGCATTGACTAGAGAAATAATGGAAGCGGAAAGGATAGCACAGCTGAAGGACAAGTCTGTAAGTAGTCCTTCTATAGCGCTGTCGACCAAAGAGCTCCAATTTCTATCTAAATGATAGCGATGAGGGAGAGGGACAATTTGGAAAAGTGTTTCGTTTAGATATTTTTTCCGTTTCTTCATTTGTCTTCTCTTTTACTGTTCTTTTGCCTTCTCTTTAGAATTTTCCTTTGTATTTCGTGCTACTTCTTCTACTTATCACGTTCTGAAAAGTCAACCCAGACGTTGAAGAGAAAAATGAAGCAGTCGAATACACAAGAGTTGTAAGTTCAGCGCGTGTGCTTGTCTTCCTGAGTGTCTGGTGTGAGATTAATTTTGCTGCGCTGTCACCGCCAAGTATGGTTCACCAACTCGCCCAAGCTTCCATCCTATCGACTTAGTGTACTTTACGGGGCTACTCAATGTAATTGCTACTTGACCGCAACTAATCGCAAATCTCTCTCCCAGTTTGTCCCAGTTTCCACGGCCTACAAGCAAGCAAGCACCAGTTCGTTTTTCCTCAAAGGTGAGCATTCCAGATACTTTAATTAGGTGCACGGTGTAAGATAATACTCTTCAGGTGAGGACAGCGCGCTCTTGGCCACGGCCCGATGAAGTTCGCCCTTCACACTCTCTCACTTTGGTTTCAAGCAACGCCAGCAGGTGACTCATCGACCCGTGGGCACGTTCAAGACGGCTCGTGCCGCCTTATGTACCACACGCGCAGAGCTCCAGCGAGGTTGTCACACGTGCAGAAAGACCATGGTGTACCGGGGTGTCATGACAACGAGACAATGATTTTTTGCTGTCACACAGTTCCGCCGTTTGGCCGCCGGTGACACTGTCAGTCGCGGGCACGGTGGCAGCCGAATGATGCAGTCTTTCGGATGCCCGTCGAACGAACACTATTTGATTCCTCGCGCCGCGCGTTCAGCCCCGGCGTGTCCTCACCTAAAGAGTGTATCTTTCACCGTGGTTAGGTGCAAATCAGGAACTGTAAAGCCAGACGAGCCGATAGGTTTATTTAATTGACGGAGCTCAGAATGATCCGTGGCAGTGGAATGGAAGCTTATTTTTCCACAATCAAACGCATACATAATTTTGAATCTATCCGGCTTAGTGAAGGATTGCTACTTGTTGCGAACTAATCACAAATTTTTATTTTGCAGTTTCTATATGGCTACAGCTAGCAGGTGCTGCTTTCATTAAAAGGTGAGGATTTCACATTCTGTTTTCAAACAGCAAGTTTTTGAATGAGGGTCCTAAACAATTAACTTTCTTTTGCAGTAAATGCCAGATCCTCCAGTTCAGGAATATGTTAAATATATTTGGTATGAATAAGCCCAGTGTTTTTCTTCTTTATTCATAATTTGACAACAACAACACTTTTTCTTTTATCACTCAGAAATACACACAAGAAGAGACTGCGTTGCAAAGAAATGTCGTGCTGAACGTGATATTCCAACTCGCATATAGTTTTATTGGTAGCCGATATAATATATTGGATTCCAATATCCATAATACGCTGAGTATATTGGAATTGTAAACCCTTATTGGATCCCCATACGACACATGGGGATCCAATAAGGGTTTATACGGTATTGGATTCCAATATTTTCAGCGTATTATGGATATTGGAATCCCATAACAAATCCTTTTTGTAATACAATACAATAAATGTAATGTTTTCCAATACACTGTCTATATTGTATTGCAATACAATAAAAAGATATTGTTTACCAATATCCATAATACGCTGTTTATATTGGGGTTTTCCAATAGGGCAAGCATGCTCGGTATGTGGAAGAGCGGAGGTTTTCCAAGGTCTGTTTTAGGTAATCGTTCGTTTTGGAAACAGCGCGAGAATGGAACAAGCTACCGGCCCATGTCGTGACGGTTGGAACTCGAGAAGAGTGCAGTTCCCTTATTTTAGATATTTCTGCCAGCAGTACCTCGAGTTATCGTTTCATCGTTGTGTTGCATACATGTTACTGATCTATGCATTTTTAGCGCGTGTATTTTTTGTGTTTTTTGTGTTATGCAAATCCACTCCTATCTTGGTCCTGTGCAGGACCGATAGTATTCAAATAAATAAATAAATAAATAAATAAATAAATAAATTAATAAATAAATAAATATTCCTGTTGTATTCGCGTCTTTGTTTTTGGTACATTGCTGGTGGGAATAACGAGCCATGAATATTTTCACGCTGGCTGTGCAGTGCACGAGCTTTGCATGTAGAATGACAGTTTTCAACTGACAACAGCTGCCCTCGGTCGCTTCCTGGATCTGCTGGTTCAGCTAGAACAAAGCGTCGTTAATCGTTTGCCCTGCCGTGAGCCTCATGGCTGTCTTTCGTACAAAACACTTGTGGCGGTAATGTTCGGGCTAGGGTGTCCCAATGTGTACGCGTCTGTCTTAAACTGATAATATCAGATGATTTTGAAAAAAAAAGGGCTTTTCTTTTTGCGCGTTTGCGCTGCGTCTCAATTAAGCGTCTAGTCCAGTACGACGCGACCGTCTGCGGTGAGAGGGGAAGGGGACAGTGGTGGGCCTGGGAGTGTATGTTTCTCTTTTTTTTTTTTTTTTTTCTCTGACGTACTTTATTGTTCGTTATATTTTCACGGTCACGCCGCCAAAACTTTCGGCTATTTTCTTTTTCGGCGATGATTATGTGTTTTTTTTGTGGAGATTTTATGCATGTATTTATTTTCCTTTGTTTTCTGTGGGTGATTGAATTTCTTTTTTTTTTCTGCGTCGCATCCGCGCGAAAATCTATGGGCGGAAGTTAGCTTTTTTTTTAAATTTTGTAATCCCTGGCGCTGTAGGGCTAGGTTGACTATGGGAGTTAGACGACCGTTAAAAATCTTGTGTTGAGAGTGAGGCAATGGGTACGAATGTTGACATGAGGGGAATCAGTTGGCGGTTCTGCGCGAATTCTTCCTGCCCATCTAACAGATGGCGCCACAGTTCCACACGGCGGTATTATTGTTTTCTTCCCGGGAGCGGTGGGGGAATCACTTTTTACTGAGCGGTCACTGCACACTAAACGAAAAAAAAAAAAAAAAAAACCAGACGGGAGTAAATAGCTTGTTCTATAGCGCATTCCCATATGGGAGTTTCGTATACTCCTCCGGAACGGAGTTCAAAGTTCCCATGCAGCCCAATTTTTTTTTGGGGGGGGGGGGGGGGGTGAAAGGGAGTCAGTACAGAACTCCCTTCAGTATGGGAGTTTGCAGATGGATCAATGAGAGTATTTATTTACTTCTATCAGTGTTCTTAGGTAGACCCACGGGAGTATTCTTTCACATCCATATGTAATTTTTTTCGGGGACCCACGGGGATATTCATTTACATCCACCTGGCAGTTCTTAGGTGGGCCCACGGGAGTATTAATTCTCATCCAACTGAAAGCTTTTACGTGAACCTATGGGACTATTCTATCACGTCCATCTGGGAGTTCCTACTTGTGAAAGCTATTACGTAAACCTACGGGAGTATTCTTTCGTATGCATCTGGGAGTTCTTACCTGGACCCAAAGGAGTATTATTTCACATCTACCTTGGAGTTTCAATGAATATTTGTGATAGTATTTTCTTGCTACCTTTAAGGGGCTTGAAAATCAGGAAGTGTGAAAGGAAAAACATAAGCAGGTAGCATCATGCAGAAAATAAATTTATTGCACACATTCTGTACACTTCCTGTACAAGTCTTGTGTGCAACAGCCCATCTTCCTTTGGGCGGCAACTAACTTCGTCAGACGACCGCTTAAACGGCCTTCAGAGCAGACACATTAAAAAAAAAAGCTGCAAACAAGCGCACGTAAAAGGGCACTTGCAGAGCCGAGATCGTGAGTTGATTCGCCGATTCTTTGAAGGAGTCCATTCTGAAGGCCATCTAAGTGCCCGTCTGACACGGGTATTACACTGTAGGACACACAGGCTAACTGTACTGCACAAGATACGATCGCTTCGTAGAAAATTATCGATTCCAGTGCTCATGTAGCACAGTCCCCAAAGTTTCATGTAGCACAGTCCCCAAAGCACATGCTCAGTGAAAGCCAACATCTAATGTGCTTTCTTCACCTACTAGATGTGCAAACTCCAGCAGGTGGCAAAACGGCACACCACACCCTGATGGAGCCGTACAACAAGTTCAAAGTTCTTCCAGTATTAAAATATTGAAATAAATTATTCATTCTTCACAGAATTTGATAATACAAAATATGAGGGTCGTAGATTTTTTATCAATTTATTTATGCTAAACAGTCCGCCTGCTCTTTCTTGACGTCGCAGCTCTCTCGTTATCTCTGAGGTAGCAGCACATCCAATTACACTTACTGCAGTGAGTCCGCTGTTGAATTCTATTCCCTACATAGTGCTGGAAGGGACCTGTAACCAAAAAATACAAGCGTACCCTATTGGAAAGACCAGTTTAAACTGGCAACCAATTCAAACTGGTACCAGTTTCAAACTTGGATATTGCTCCAGTTTGACCAGTTTCATACTGGTTGAACTGGTCACACTGGTCATGGTGGTTGAACTGGTCACACTGGTCATGGTGGTTGAACTGGTCACACTGGTCATACTGGTTGAACCGGTTGAACTGGTCATGGTGGTTGAACGTGTCATGGTGGTTCAACTGGTCACATTAACTTGTCACGCTGGTTCACCTAGTATGTACTTGCCGTTGAGTAAACAATTCCACTGTGAAACGGTATAAGGAATCACTGCCATTTTATTCTTTCGGAGCGACCCTCCTTCTGCCCTGCCTCGCAACATCAGGCAAGAAGTCTTTTAGGATGTCGCGGACTACCGTCTGGAGCTCCAGGATCGGGCGACGTTCAGGCTCTGGCTTCTTTGCCCTCTCATAGTACATCAGGCCACCTGGAGAAATTGTAAATATATCTGCGTTAAACAGCTGTGCAAGGAAGAAAAACTTTTTTTTTTCTTTTTGTTATAATTTCGCAAACATAATATATATAATTTAAAGGAACTGGAGGGCTTAATTCCCTGTAAATTTTTTGAAGCACTAGAAATGCACAACACAAAGACAGAATTTTTCTTTCTACCAATAGGTAAGCGCAATTCGAGAGCGACCATGCATGACAAGTATTGTCAAAATGTCATCGGTACATTCAGGTTGGTGTGGGCGTAACATCATTTGAAACTTACAAGTAGATCTATCAAGGTCAAAGCATATGGTTTTGAACTCTTAACTATATATATACATAGCATTGAAAAAAATTGCTTCTTTTTTAATGGATGAAATCTTAACGGTAATATGCCACGGAAGAATTAATAGGAACATTAAGATGAAGGACAGAACGGGCACATCCTTCACTTCCTTTTAAATTAACTCAGTGCAAGTCTACAAATCATATGGTAAACATTTTAACAAAAACATTCCACAAGTGGCTACAGTGGCAATTATAAACCTAGGTTGGCAGTACCAAAACACCTGGCCAAAGACACCAATCAACTTAAATCCAGATTGTAAAACATCCATGACCATGTAACTAATAATTTTAAGAGCTGATTTACAGGGAATATGTCTCCGTCTATTCCTGGAAATGTGTCCATCCATTCCCGAATACAGAGATTTAAAGGGCCTCTCCAATAATTTTTTGACTGGTCTGAAACTTGTGCCGAGAGTGACCGCAGGCAACGCAATAACACTGAGAAACTACCGTATTTACTCGAATCTAACTAAGGTCCGAAAATCGCATGTGCGCTACAAACGAGTGCGACCAAAACTGCGCTACCATATCGCCATCGATATTCCAAAATAGCCGCCCATTACGCGCTAAGAAGCTGCGTAGCCAGCTCCTGTGTTCCTTTCATATCAGCGTGGAAGTTCCCACTGCAAAGACCCACCGCGCTCACCATGATGCTGGATTCAAAAGAAAAGGGATATTGTACGCAGAGAGCGATGGAAATTGGGCCGCATCACGTGCGATGGGTGAAAGATGCATGGTGCACGATCCCGTCTGCCATGGTTATCAAGGCCTTCAAGAAGTGCGGAATTCCTAACGCTATGGACGGCACCGAAGATGAAACGCTTTGGGCCGTTGACAGCGATAAGGAGTTGTCCGACAACAATGACGAGTGATGCGTACTGTCCCACGAGCGCTGCACCAGACCGTCGCCATGATGACGACCTTGCCGGCGAGAGACAGCGCCGTTCATTTCATCGCAAGATTGAAGGATTCGGAATAAACCTTTGTTCCAAGTGAGAAAAAGTTTAATTTCTGTATTTAACCTACAAAATCTGGCGCGCGTAACAATCGAAGTCATGGCGTTTTTTCTTTTTTCGGACCTCGAGAAAAGGGTACACGTTACAATCGAGGGCGCGTTATATTCGAGCAAATACGGTAACCGCTTTGCAAAATAAAAATTATTCGGGACACTATAAGCAAACGAAATTTACAGAAGTGGGCCACTGCGTGACGTAAATGGAGATGCCAATGGTAGGCGCAAAACACGCGGCGGCTCCTCCGCTGACGGATCCACATCGTCGCTCTATAGTGACTCTAGCGTCAGCTATCTTTGATACAGTGGTGCCTTGTGTTTCTTTGCCGCAGAGCCGCTGGGCGGTGGGCGTGCCGCCTCTCAGAGCCGCGTACGCATCGCCGGCGCTCAGCTCGCCTCTCAGTGCTTGCATCCGTGCATCGTCCCTTCATCGTCGCCCCCCCGCATGCCGCAACAACCGGGGTCCCCACTCACCGAGTCGAGTTTCGTAAAAGTGCATGAGAAGAGAGAGCACGTGTGTACAATGCGTCGTCTGCTAGTTTGGTTTCAGTTTCCGCGACATGAATGCCGCAGGGCGGCTCACATGTCGCAAAGAGCTTGTTTTTGTTGTTTTTGCGCTTTATTAAAGTACATTTAGTTTTTTCCTTAGTCTTAGAGCTCAATAAAAACAACTTTTATAAATAATTATGAGGTAAGAACATTCACACTTATTATTCCGTGCTCAGGAACAAACTATTGGTGGACCTGGCCAATCGGGAAGCCAGCTCCGTTAAAGTCATCTGCCACGCACGTTTAGCACCACACTGCGCCCACCATCGATACAACCATTCCGCACCTTGTCAAATGAAAATATGATGCACCATTCTTTTGCAGTTTTGTCTTTGTTCCCCAAATCCCCCGAACCACAGAAAAGGCAGGGAGCGCAAAAAAAGCAGAAACATAATTATATTGTTGGAGGGGCCCTTTAAGCAAAAAAAAAAAAAAAAAGCAGAGGGATTGCATTTGCAAAGCTTTCACAAAACATAATGCAGCATGCATGGCCAAGATGGCAGCACATTTAGCTCTTGGGCAGAGGCCCAATATTGGGCACCGGTAGTTCTTTTTATCCTCTGGTTGTCTGGAATGTCCCAGTTAAATATAACCACGAAAGCTTGTTTTTTCTATTCTAGGAAATGTTCTTGGCTGTCGAATGTGTGTAAAAGGAAGCACATGGTGGCTGCAGGCAGATAGTCTTGGGTTATGGTAAGGTCTTACCAGTCACGCTGACATGACACCGCCAACGCTAGTCGCCACCAATTTTATTTTGTTTGTGAGCACAAGTTCATTTATTAAATATTTAGTTGTCTAATACTTCAACCTTATTATTCCTGTTAGTTTTCCAAGTGAACCTCAATAAATTTTTGGTTTTCCAAATAGTTTAAATTTAAAAAAGACTTGAACAAGGACAGCACATCTCTCAACTCATTGTTTTTAAGACATTTACCAACTCTATCAACTTTCTACATTATTACATTATTTGTTGAAAGTTGACCCCTTTTCATTCTAATATATTTTGACACTCTATGCACTTACTTCCAAGGGCCATCATCTTTGCAGGTGTTACCGGCAGCTTCCCTTTCGCGCCCTCTTTAAGAAAGCGCCGGCTCGGCTCTCCGGTCACGCTGCGAGCGCAGAGCTCAGCAGTAGAGTAGATCGTCCGGGAAAGGTCCTTTACGAAGCGTTGCTCCGGTAGCTTCGATACCAAATCATCAAGCTTAAGCTTGGGGACTTTTAGTCCACTGCCAAGGTGAACCTGCATTCAATAAGAATTTCCTTGTGAACACTATAATCTACTAATCTGGAAAACATTCCATCTAGTAGACTACCACAGTTTGGCAAAACAGTGAGTCTTAGTCACATTATCAAACCCAACGTTGAACTTCATAATGATACTGCCATATAACAAGATCATGTGCCGTTGCGGGTTAAGTGCACACGCCATTTTATTGTCACGAGTTTGCTTGGCCCTAAGTTTTAAAGAAAAGAGCCGAAACAAAGTTTTCCCGATATTCAAATAATGACAATAACTGACCCGCCTGCATGTTTATGTTTAAGAAATACAATGAATGCAAATAAATTCCAGGAGTATTAAGGGCACTGAAATTCTTTTTTCAAGGGTATTAGGTCTTCAAGGGGCTGTGCAAACTCTACGTGGATGTTGACAGCACTGTGGTGGTGTGCGGTGCTCCAACAAACGAAGACTTCGTGGTGTTGGTAGGTAGCAAAGAACCCACCGTGGACGCCGAGAATGAGAAAATCAATGAGGAAGAAGCCTTACACTACTTTTGAATGGGAAACCAGAGTCCTTAATAATGCTTTTGGTCATGAAACTTCCACCGAAGTTTGATACAGGAACAGAAGCTCCTGTCGAAAGTAAGGACAAACCACCTATACTCTTGCTATCCTCCGTTTGCTTGACAATTTCTTGCATACGAGAATACTTTAAACATACCTTCACTAAAATGCCAAGCTTTAAGAGAGGAACCAGCGGTGTTGACGCGGAGATGCCTCTTTGAAGGTGTAATTGTGGACGTTTACGTATACTCACAAAAAAACCTGTGACCGAGAAAAAAAAAAAGCAAGCGGACTGTTTTTTAGGGTGCTACTTGCCTATTTGGATCTAAGAACAGCAAGCTCACTGAAAATCTACTGCACAATTTCAAACTTCATTACGGGACTCGAGCGGCAACTCTCGTGCTGAAAGACTGTGTTCAGGTCGGCCGTGCTGCGCGTATTCTGCTCGCGTGTCTTCTTGCTCTTCCTCTGGACTGCAGGTTTACCCATATGCTTTAACAAATGCAGCAGTTACGAATGAAAATGCCACTCATGCCTGGTCATGCAGTGCGCGACTACGCACACACGACCCGCAAACTCACGCTTATCTTCGCGCAAAGTCTCCAGTGCGCGACTACGCACACGCAACCCACAATTTCACACTTGCCTTTGCGCAAAGTACTTGAATCGGCAGCATGATGCTCATTCTTCGTGACTGTGCTGAAAATTAAGGTCTCAGATAATCCAGTATCGTTTAAACTCTGGCATTCTAACCTCGCATTTGAAAGCTGCAAATCTGTTGACATGCCGAAAAAAAAAAAGAATGGCTGTGAAGCTTACTAGCAGTTTCTGTTCCAGTCGATTTAGAGACGCTGTCACCTAATATGTTAAAACTTTCTAATCATGGAGCCCGATTTTGGTGAGTGGTGAGAGCACGATCTCAGCCGGATCGGGGTTCGTCTGCTACAAAAGAGGCGCGGTTCGTCTGCCACGAGGTGTCATTTGCTGACGGAACAGAGACGCCACTTGCTAGCAGATACTAGCTAGCAGGTGGTGAGATTATAGAGGAGATCGAAAACAAAGTTAAATTGGAAACCTCCGCTATTTCTTGAAGGACGCAATCGACAACCTGTGCATCGTTTAGAAATTTGGATACGTTCTCCTGTCGCACGTAACCCAACATCCACCCGAGAATAATTAAGAATTTGAAATGAACACCTACCTGGCATACGAGAGCTTTCATAATCCTAAGTAGGTCAGAAGTCCTCACCTCTTTACGGAAGAGGAAAGCTCTCGCATGCGAGGTAGGTGCTTGTTTCTAATTCTTATTTATTCACCAGCGGATGTCAGGTTATGTACGACAGGAGAACGAATGGAATTCGCATTTCAAAATGAAGCACAGGTCATCAACTGCGCCCTTCAGTAAATAGTAGATGTTCTCAGTTTAACTTTTTTTTCCCGACCTCTCCACCCGCCCGTGGGACATAATTAGTTCCATACGGCCCACAATGGCGTCGATGCCTCATAGCAGACAAACCACAATTTTCCCTTGCGTTACCGGACGACGTGTCTGCTAACAGTATTTGAGCATCCCTCAGCGAGAGCAGACTCTGACTTTTCTCCCGCCCGTGACAAAAATCAGTCCCCTGGGCCGGTTTGCTCATCTTGCAGCTGTGGCCAAGAGGGATTTTTATGTCACGTGACCAGCTCCTTGGGGACATGGAACTATGTAGCACCCTATGCCCCTGCCTAATGGTACAGAAATGCGTGTCGCTTCGAGCACAAAAGTTTGACTTTGCTCGCAGAAACTGACCGCAGAGGCTTGCAATTCGAGTCTAATTAACCACACCCTTAAACTTTAAAAGCGGCAGGTAAAGTTACAGCCGGAAAAGGTCAATATGCACCAAAATAAAAGATAAATCACGCAAGACAAAAGCAGTGGTGTTATACATATATGTCTGCGCCAGCTGCGCAAGTTCTGCCGTCTTGCGTGGCGGACTGGTAACGGTGTTGAGTCTTGTCATCGCTGCGTGAAAGTTTTGGGTTCAAATCGCGCCAACACTAAACACCTTTTTTTTTCAGATTTATATTTTACTTGCTTTTTGCTTTTTCTTGCTTGCTTGCTTTTTGCTTACTTTTGCTTGCTTGCTTCTTGCTTTTTTTACCACTTGCACGACTGTGCCACAGACTTTTTATTGTTTGAATCACCTGTTAAATCGACAAGCCTGAAGAAAAAAAAAGATCAAGCTAAGTTACTGCGATGATAACATGGTTTCATGTTTGTTAAAAGGAAGCCAAGATAATGGTATCAGCATGACTTTCATAATGGCATTAGCATGACTTTCATACAAACTGGGTCGAAACAAACGTTGTTTCCCCAGCAACTACAATTCTATCTGTTTTTTTCAATATTCAAGGTGCTTGCTACGACTCATTCAATAACAGAAGGCGCATATTTGGCCCTAACAGACACTGCAGTTGTGTAAACTCAGAAATTGAAACATCCACAAAAAAAAAAAAAATCTAGCAGCTGTAGTTGCAATGAGAAAGTTGTAAAACCCAGATAAAAGATTAAACGTTTACTTGCGTGAAATGCGATAAAAGTTTCTACATTTTGCTGTGACAACAGTTTTGTAATATTATGTACATATATATATTTTGTAATATTATTTTATTGTAATAATAAAAATAACAATATAATAAAATTAAGTACTAAAATAATAATAACAATAACATTTTGTAATACTAACTTATAAAAGATAAGTTGAGCAAGAAAGAAAAACTTAGACACAGCAAGCACAATTTTTAAAAAAGGATCACAGTTAAAAAGTAAGACACGCGTAAAATATAATTTATAACATAGAAGTCCTATCATGCCACAATTCGAAGCCTTCCACGCCAAGTCCCGTCTCTGCTTTTGTATAGCGTGATTTATCTATCATTTTGGCTCATCTTGGTGTTCCCCGGCCGTAACTTTACCTGCCACTCCTAAAGTGCAAGGGTGCTTTTAATTAGACTCGAATTGCAAGCCTCTGCGGTCAGTTTCTGCATGCGAAATCCAACTTTAGTGCTTGAAGTGACACGGATTTTCGCGCCATCAGGCAGGGGCGCTAGGTACTTCCATGTCCCCGTGGAGCTGGTATTGCGACATAAAAATTCCTCTTAACCGCAACCGCAAGATGAGCGAACCGGCCGTGGGGCTTGATTGTGGGCTCCGGGGGGCCAACCACTGCGTTTACTGAATGCCCATCTGCTGTCCAGTTATGCTGAACTGTCTACGCTAGCGCCACTGCACAGTCACGCTTTGCAGCACACGAAGCGCTCCCATAGTGTTACGGGGAAGTTCCATGACTAGGAAAGTAACAAAGGACTCTAGTAAATATGGCCGTAAATATGACCATAAATATGGCCGCCGCTGCCGCAATGTGTCCTGGGAGCTGCAGTCTTTTTGCACGTGCCACAAGCGAGCTGCAAGCCTAGCCTACGCGAGCAAAGCACGTGCTGTCTGGTGTACTGCCATCAGCATCCAGTGAACTACAGTTATGGTGGCGTGATGCATGCGCCAACGATTAGTGAGCTCAGTCTATTAAGTTGTGCGACACGCAGGCGACGATTAGGGCCAAAAATTGGTCAACATTCCCTGGATTATACATGAAGCCTATTTCAGTCGTCAAACAAAGTTCCTAAATCGTCTTCATTGTTCCTTCAAAGCAATTTTGGTCACTTACCATTCCATCTCCTTCGATCAGCACTGGTGGTGCAGGGCCTGCACATGGTAGAGCGGGCTCTGGCAGCAGGAATCCTGCAAGCAAGGTAGTATCTTTGCTTAGATTTGAAATCCTTACCAATTTGGATACTATAATGAGTGATAAGGCGCAGCCGAGCTGGTTTAGCATAGTTGTAAACCCGAGACTGGGGATACGGACAAGGGACAAAACACAGAACGAGCTGGTTTACAATCATGATTTAAGACAACCCTTAGACAGGGGACACAAAAAGGGGACAGAACACGACGAAGTCTCACAAGAAACTTGATCGTGTTCTGTCCCCTTTCTGTGCCCCCTGTCTCAGGGTTGTCTTAAATATTCGATACCATACCCTGTTGCCACAGAAGAAAAATAGTAACAGCTTTGCCTCCAGCATAACCTTTCTATCTTTAGTAACACTTCAGCAAACACTCAGCCGCATACGACGGAAGGAAACGATCAGGAGCTGAAGGCGAAGCTTGTACTTTTCTTATGTTGCACCAAAATAGACACAGTATGTCAGCAGTATTATCTTGACTTGCACTCAGGTGTAGAGCTTATTTCATCAGAAATATTTGGGACAAGGAGATGGTTTGCTCCCAAGAATGGCTCTTGAAATCCACTAAAATGATTAACAGACTAAACTCTGTTTCAGCCAAGGAGGATAGAAGGGTAGGAGAGGGCATGACGTCGGCTGCGTAGCCTCCACAAGCCATGCTCCGTTGACGCCTCGCCTCTTTCTCATTTTCCTCCTTACTCTCCTCACTTACCATGCCAACGTGACCACATCACGTGACCATAGCTAGCCTTCGTCATGCTATGGGGTACTAGAATACATCACAGTCTAGCCTTCGATCTGATAAAACCTACCGGGCGGAGCGCGCGCAAGCCTGCAAGGAGTCCTACAATCAACCATCCATCTCCCACGTGACATGTCACGCGCACCAATCGCCAGAGAGATCTGCGGTCACGCTGGGCACAAAATCGTTTAAACTGTTTATGACTAGGCTTCACACATATTGCAACGTGCCCCCTCCTAGTATTTATAACCTCCTTGGTTTCAGCGAACTTGGCAAGTGAAAAAGATGGGCCCCAATTAGAATGTATGAGCGTAGAACATGACAATGCACAGTCAAAGTGCACTTTTCCTTGTGGATAGTTGACACATCTGCTGCGTTGCTCCAAATGAATCGCAAAATACTTTTGCCTTTTGCTAACCTGCGCTGAAAAGAAGTATACTACAGGCAGAAATTTACCCAAACGTGATACACGCTGTCCCTTTCCTAATCTTCAACCCCAAGAAAATTGCTCACACTAAGTAAAAATGGTAAACCTCCCTGCCCTTACACAACATCTACCGGTGCAGCTTGTGACACAACCTGCGCCTCCCTCCCTTTCCACATCAGAGAATGGTAAGGAGGGTGCAGCCAGGTTTTTGAAGAACCTTGGTTTTGGTTTTGTATTGTGTAGTAGGTGTCAGCTAGTGCATATTAAAAGTTTCAGACTATAAAACCAAATATCGAGCACGTTGCAATAGAAATAAATTCAAACTATTCTCTACGAAGGAAACACCCTGATCCACCGGTAAAAGTTGACTAATGAAAATGCTACATTTTGCAAAGATTGCAAACATCATTTTACCTTTTTAGGCTCGTTTCAAATTATACTTCGAGAGAAACACATTTTCCGCAGTGTGGGCAACAGTACTGTAATCATCGTATTGAAAACAGTAAAATACATTTTCTTTGCACCTTCTTGTATCCGCTTAGCATGCTTCCTAGAGCGAACGCTTCCAATGACCGTCATCAATGTCGCTCATCGGGATGGCATCGTACAATATGGCCCCCATGTCTGCTGTCCATTCCGGTCTCTCGAGCTTACGGGGCGACAGATTTGATAGTTCCATGGCACAATGGTGCGACAAAAGACTCGCCATTGAGAAACAAGGTTTCGGCTACGATGCACAGACACATTCAAGAAATTTCCTACGGGTCGGCCAGTCAGGGGCGCGGGAAACCTTCACTTGCTGTTTGTTGATGGGCACCCTTTGTCATTCTGGCTGCCATTTTGAATTGCTGTTTTAACACAAAAATATGGTGCGCATGATCACAACTCTGGCATTTTTAGGATCCTTACAGCCCGTAAAGTTAATTACCACCGTAAATAAACTGTATCAGAAATCTGCTTTCTGCCCCTTTTGAGCATTTCTGTACTTGCCCGGTTGCTGGTCAGCTGACGGTAAAGGAGCTCGGCCCAGTGAAGGTTGGTCGGTAGACTTTTCCGCTCCGGAAAGGTTTCCTGAAAACAAATAATACCGTGAAGTATCTCACCAGCGTGTCAATCTGCTACCACAGACGTGCCGGTGTGTGGTTTATAACGCCCATCTACATGCACCCATCCAGACTTGTGACAGTGGCCGAGTAGACGAAGGCATTGATTTTTAACTGCACTGACCGGCACTGGCACAGGTTCGAATTTCACCAGGCGTCAGCTTGTTTTTCCAAAAGAGCCCATGGTTGGTGAACACACAGTTTCAAGGCGAGTTTCGCAATAGATGTCAAGTAAATTGTGAACACGTTTTGAGCATATTTCAAGATAGGTTTCGAGTAGGTTTTGACATAGGATTGGCGAAAAGGAAGAAGTGCCATAAGAAAACTCTTACTTTAAAGGGCCCCTCCAATCATTTCCTTATTGGTCTGAAACTTGTGCTAAGTGACAACAAACAACGCAATAACAAAAAAAAAGCTTTCCAAAATAAAATTTAGTTGGGAAGTTATAAGCAAATAAAATTTACAAAAGCAGACCACTCTGACGTAAATGGAGCTGCCAATGGTACGCGCGATATATGCTGTCACCCCTCCACGGCCAGATCCACATCGTAGCTGTATAGTGACTCTAGCGTCGGCTATCCTTGGTACAGTGTTGCCTTGGACTGGGTTTACGCAGGTGCACAACATTCCTTCGCCGTTAAGCCGCTGGCGTGTCAAATAGAATGGCCGCCTCTCCAAAGCCGCGCACACATCGCCGGCGCTCAGCTCGCCTCTCCGTGCTTGCCTTTGTGCATCGTCCCTCCGTCACCCTGCACGCCGCGGGGGTGACTGGGGTCCCACTCATCTAGCTGAGTTTCGTGAAAGCGCACGAAAAGAGAGAGCATTTAAGCATTTTATTTTATTTTATTTTATTGTAAGTACAATGTGTCGTCTAAAAGTTTGGTTTCAGTTTCCGCGACACGGATGCCGCGGGACGGCGCACATCACAAAAAACTTGCTGTTGTTGTTTCTTCTTTTCGTGCTTTATTAAACTATATTTAGTTCTTAAAATTGTAACTCTCAAAGCTCAATAAAAATAACTTTTATGAATAATTATGAGGTAAGAACAGTCACTTATTATTCCGCACTCAGAAAGAAACTTTTGGTGGACCTGGCCAATCAGGAAGCCAGTTCTTTTAACGTACCCGCCACGCGCATTTAGCATCCTGCTGCGCCACCATCTATCAACTGTTCTGCGCCTTGTCAAATTAAAATATGATGCACCATCCCTTTTTGCGGTCTTGTCTTTGTTGCCCGAATTTCCCGAACCACCAAAGGCAGGGAGCGCAAAAAAAAAAAAAAAAGAAGCAGAAGCAGAAATATCGTTGGAGGAGCCCTTTAAAGGAAAACTGCTTAGATCCTAATTCAACTGCCATCAACAAACTTCAAGGTTACTGTTGATTTAGAAAATTCAATCTTTGGGTCACTTGCACATGCAATTGAAGGCCCGTTCAGACAGTTGCGTTCGGAGCGACCACTACGCTTACGAACGAACGCAACCGGTTGGAACAACAAGTTACCATAGCAACGAAGTGCCAAACGGTCGTTTTGTTCGTGTTCGTTTGCAACGTAAGGAGTTGAGCCGGGCTGAACTTTCTCGTTACGTTCGGGAACGACTGCAACGACGGACCAATCAGAGATCAAGGAGAGCTTGGTCGCGCGCGTTGCATGCCGGTCTCCTTCTATCTGCGAACATGGCATCGGTGGTGACCGTCGATGTGGACGGCGTGGTGGAAAATTACGGTTGTATTGCAGACTATACTCTGTTCACCCTAAGCTGACATTGCAGCAGAAGATACGTGCTGGATGGACCAAATTCAGAGCCAGCTGTGCGGGATGTCACCGCACTCTCTGGCGCGATGACAACGCACGTTGATGTTGCATGTTGCTGGCTCCGATTGGTACATCCAGTGCATACCTTCCACTGCACTGTCAGCTTAAGGGTGAATCGAGTATATGGCACCTCAACTCGGTCATGCCAGCATTTTGTACTCGCTCTCGTTTTTCTTTGTGAATAAATCAGTCTTCTTCCTTTGCCAGTAAGTGATGAACAGTTATGGTCCACGTCAGGCAGCAAACATATGAGCTCTTCCTCTAGATGACAAGTTTCTATTTACTACAGTGACTACATGAGGGTTGCCTTCTGTCAAATGGCACCGTGTATTCATCTGCCCAGCGCAGCATTTGGGCTTGCAGAAATTTGCAGGTATTTTCGAGAGTATCAGAATTAAAATCGGATTTACTTTTCTCAGTTTTTGGGCAGGATAATCTTACTGTCTGTTATTACATTTGACAGTCATTTAACAGGTAAAAGCTCAACACAAACTTAAAACGCTTAAAACTTGCCTGTGTACGAGGTTGATGGCACTGGACTTTTGGGGACCTCCTCTACTAGACGACTTGGCGAGTCTTCTAAACAAAATTTGATGCACGGATAAGCATGATCAAAAGATGAAATAAATTTGTACACTAGAATCTTACCGAGCAGTTCAATGCCTTCAAAAGACGGTGGTTCAGCCAACAGATGCTCCTCGCTTGAAGTACCAGGCCTCCTCCATTGCGGTTCTGAGGCAGCTTCTGAAAAACCAAGTAGAAATTGAACGGCAATGCAGGTTATAATAGCTCCTTTTTTTAAAAGACTCAGTTCGTAATAAGAAAGAGAAGCATGCACACCAATTTTCATTGCAAGGGCCAAACCCAGCCTCCGGCTGTGAGCCTGTTCCTCGGCAAGCTCTTTCTGAAGTCTTTTTATTTTGCTCTCTTTCTCCTGGAGGAGATGTCGAAGGATCCTATCCTCTTGAGGTGCTGCCCTCGTCTCCTGGGTCTGGGTAAAAATACATTGCCACTGTTGGAATATCATAACTTCAGAATGCAAAAGTATTTAGGTGTCTGATAATTCTGCACCTTTTGCTTTTTCTTAAAATCTGCAGCGATGTCATCAAGCCTCGACCGCTTGCCAATCTCCTTCCGGTTCTTTTTTTCCTTTCGTCCAAGGTCTTGGACATGCTAAATGAAAACAGTAGAAATATCAAATATTTACTCAAGCAGTGTCATACTCACAAGATAAGTAAGCTAGTAAGCTTTGCATGCACAAATTACTACGGAACAACCTCCACTACCAGTGAAAGCGACTGGAAAAATGGGCATGAGAAGTAATTTCAGTTCCTTATTTTATCGGGATACTCGCCGAGAAGCAGCTAGGCCTAACCCGGGAAAAAAATAGAGTTGCTATTTTTATGATTTTTGCTACAGTATGGACTGGTTCCGCGCTATGATTTTTACTGCGTGCCTGCCCCAAAAAACATTTCGCGGTGCGCATGGACAGAAAAAAGTGAAATAGAGATGTCTCTTGTATCCTCTTCTACCTCTGTATTTAACACTTTCCTCTCCAAAGTTCTGCTGGCCCTATCCTGGCACAATAGATATTTTCCAAACAGTATTTATTTGCCTTTCCCGGTCGCGTTTGCATTTAGTCCATGTGTGTGGTGTTCAACCATTTTTTTTAAGGACACAATGAGCTTAAAATGTTCTTGGTATCCTTTGGAGATGGCATCTTTGTTAGGTCTTTAAGAGCAATTACAGAGCAAAACTATTATTCTTGCCTTTCTTGCAGGCTGCTTCTGCGTTGCACTACCATCCAAAATCCTAGGAATCGGGTACCGCTTCAGTTGCATCTTCTTCAAAAGATCATCAAGACTCTCGTAAAAAAAAACAAAAAAAACAACAACAAAAAACACGTTTAAATAGCACCCTTCTTTTAGTGACATGAGTATAATAGGTTCTACACACGTACTGATCGAAAGGAAAGCAGTTAAGAGTTACTGCCCCAGTCTCTTCCTGCCCAAACTGGTCTTTGCTATGTGATCACGCCTGAATTTTGAAAAAGAAAAAAAAAGAAAGAAGAAGAAAAAAAAGAAAAGAAGAGAAGAAAGAAAGCAGGAGAAGGAAAAAAAAAACTGCCTTATGGCTTGAAACTAGCTTTCGCACTCGCATGATGTTTTTAACCCACAAAAGCATGGAAGGTTATTTTAACCCCTAATAAATTACTTACCGCCCAGAAGGATAACGTTGGCGTTGTAGAAGTCCTCATCTTCGCCTTCGCCGGAATCTGAAACCCAGTAGGCCTCGTACAGCCGGGTCGCGTCGAAGTCGGCAGCATCGCGAGGCGTGAATTTCTTTACCAGGGAAGTGGGCAAAATCAAATGCACACCATCAGTGAACTTAACATAGGCATGCATTTCGCATGGATCTATTGCGAGATACCAGAGCCGTATACGCGTGATACCAACGTTGCGTGGCAACAAAACTCCAAAACACGCCAGAGAACAACAAAAACCACGTGTGTTTCAGTTCACTTTACCCACGTGAGTACGACGCAGTGTTGCCAGACGGACAAAAAAAAAGTCAGCAGATTGATCCCCAAAAAGTAAATTTACACAAGAATCAGTAGATCTTACGAAATCTGTTTTTCGCCGTGTTGCTATTTCCATTAAACCACACTTCGAAGAAATAGTAGAGTAACAAATAACGTGGTAATATAAACACAAAAAAAAAAAAGATTAGTGAGTAATTCTTTATGGAGGATAAAATAAAATGGCACCGTGAATATTTTTTTTTTTTTTTTTAGCATTGAGTAGTTTTGCGATTTCGAGGATTAATCTTTTTAAATTCAAGACTGAGCTACTGTTGGGATCAACAGATGGGGGCGACAGTGCGACATCCACCTGTCGTTATTATTGAAACGAAACCAAAACAAGACGTTCCGGCAAGTGCGCTCGTACTTGTCCAAGGGAAGAAGTCCTCTGCGGGGTTAGCATCTTTCCTTACTTTGGCTGTGGAAGGTTTTTGACGCACCGCTGTCGGCGCGGAGCACTGTTGAGACTATGCGTCGTCTGCTACGGGCTTATTTCTTTTTCGCCTGACACAAAGTTTGCGTTCAAATGACCTTTCCTGTTGTTTTTTTTCCAGCTCGAAGTGGGTGACTCTTATTCCTGGTCGACGCGGAGATGGTTCGAAACCAGTGCGTTGTTTGGTGATACAGCCGGGACGCGCCTGGCTCAGACGGCGACCACAAACTTATTATTCTTTTTTTTTTTTTTTTTTTTTTTTACATAGCGAATATTATATACTATTGGGGCACGGTCGCACGGTGTACGAGGTGTCCCGGAGTTTCATTTTTGTTTAGCCGTCAGCATCCAATCCAATGCATCGGGCTCTTGGCGGTAACGGGCTCCGGCTGTTTCGTGCACAACATATTTAGTGTCGAGGGCTAATGTCTCTTACATTCTACGTTTGACGTCGGATATATTCATGACATGGCTACTCCGGGACCAAGAATCAAACGACGGAAGCGATATCTAAATGCAGAGGAGCCGTACGTCATACCGCTTTCAACTTTACGTTACCAGGCGACTCATGGAGCTGGGTGCGTTAACACCGCTAAACCTTTGAACCGCGGCGAAGGTAGCTTGCCGACTGCAACCAGTTGTGGTGCCAATTTAGGCGCCTATGACCAAGGATTGGACGTCGGTTCTGCTGTCGGAGGGCTTCCGAGCCGTGATGAATGTTTGTCCGAAGGAAGAGAAGCAAACATGGAAATCAGCTCAACCGACGAAAATGACAATTCTTGGAATGTTGAACGCCTTGGTGACGAGGGGGCAGAACTGAAGTCAGTCGAATACTTCGCGGTACACGTTGACGACGATGTGTCAGGACCGGACTCAAGCGAAGACTTCGCGGAACACGTTGACGACGAGCTGTCGGGATCAGATCTGTCAAGCGAAGACCTATCGGAACATGTTGACGACAAAGTGCGGGGTCCGGAGTCAAGCGAAGAATTCGCGGAACACGTTGACGACGAGCTGTCGGGATCAGAGTCAAGCGAAGACCTATCGGAACATGTTGACGACGAATTGCGGGGACCGGAGTTAAGCGAGGACCTAGTGGAACACGTTCACGACGAAGTGTCGGGACCGGAGTCAAGCGAATACCTATCAGAACACGTTGACGGCAGAGTGCGGGGACCGGAGTCAAGCGAGGACCTAGTGGTACACATGGACGGCGAAGTGTCGGAACCGGAGTCAAGCGAAGACCTCGCGGAACACGTTGACGACGAAGTGTTGGGACCAGGTTCAGTGGAAGAACTCCTGACTCTATGCTTTGAAGAGTTCGGGGAGCGCACATTGCCCCATTCGACTACCACAAAGCTGGTGCCATCGCAATGATTATGGCGTACGCAGTCTCCGAACGATCGACCTGGTCAGGACTAGACAAGTTGTTGAAATTAGTTAATGACTTGTTCGGCTGCGCGGTTGTGCCACCATGTGCATACATGCTCCGGAAGCTGTGGGCCAAAAAAAAAGACAACCTAGTGAAGTATCACTACCTGTGTCCGAGCTGTGGTACAGTCCTTAAGGCTGGTCATACACTTGCAAGTTGCGATGTTTGTCAATTTGAGGAGAAGACTGAGAAGCTAAGGCAGGATGGCTCATTTTTTTTAATGCTTGACCTTCACCAACAACTCAAGCAGCTGATTGAAAAAACGAGTGTTGACCTTCATAATAGCTTGTTAAAGCTTGAATCCAGCAACTCTGACCTCATCACGGACATTACAACGGGTGCGGCGTACAAGACCTTGCGCCAGAAGGTTGCATTAGGCCAAAGTGACCTGACGTTAACCTTTAACACTGACGGAAGCCCTATTTTTAAATCTTCCAAAACGTCAGTGTGGCCTATACAGTTCACCGTGAACGAACTGCCTCCATCTGTCCGCTTGCACCATCCAACTCTAGCTGCCCTCTGGTTTGGAAAATGCCACCCGGATATGTCGGCTTTCCTAACGAAGTTTGTTGATGAGGTCAACAACATGATCCCTGTGGCATGGACACATGGCGATCGCAGTCATGCATCGAGAGCATTTGTGTTGTGCTGCAGCGTGGATGCCCCTGCCCGTGCTGCAGTACAGAACATGGTGTGTTTCAACGGCTTCTTCGGCTGTCCGTTCTGCCTCATGAAAGGCGAGCATAAGGAAGGTATGAGTTACTTATTTTACTAATAGTAATTACTTATATCAGTTCAGAAATGTATATATGATCAGATCTCCATTGTTGAGTTCAATGTAGCACACTGCTTTCATTTGCAGGATGTGTACGTTATGTCGCTGATGAGGCACCAGCTCCAAGGACATCGGAGCTCCTTGCTCGAGATATGGTGCTGGCGCAGAGACTGGGGGACCCTGTGAATGGCGTCAAGGGTCCATCTGCACTCATGAACCTTAAAGGTAGTTTTTGTATGCGGAATGTGTTGTGTCGAAACCAACTTGGTATAATTTTTCCCTAGGCTTTGACCTGGTTGAGGGAATGAGTGCCAAGTATATGCACTGCGTTCACCAAGGGGTAGTGCGGCAGTTCACGGAGCTGCTTTTTTCATCTTCCAGCTCACGGCAGCCCTACTACATGGGTAACTACTGACACTTTTTTATGTCTGGCCATGCATGAAAAAAAGCCCTAAATCTTATTCAGTTGCTGTTTCCCAACTACAGCCTAAATGCAGGTCTGGTGTCGCAAGGTTCTTGCCGTAATCCTTTATTGCGCTCTGCATGCACACAACGCAACACTGCTAGCACGAGGAAACAATCACCTGTTTTTCCTGTGTTCAATCGCTGTAGTCAAAACTGATGGATGATTAAGAGTGTTCTCTTGGGACTCTAGCCTGAGTGGTAAAATTTCGTTCATGTCGATGCATTGTTTTAGCAAATGTGAAAAAGCACCGATGCCGTCTTTGCTCTTGCAGAGTGTACGTAAAGTAAATAAGTAAAGTAAAGCAAGTGTAAATAAAGATGTCGTAAACCTGACGTAGATTCAAACTTAACTTTGCAACTTTCGAACACTGCTGACATTCGATTTAGAAAAGTGTGCAATCTTTGAACACGGCCAAAGTTAGAACTGGCCAACTTAGAAGCTTTGGTTTCTGTAAACTCGAGTTTGAATGTTTTGATTCCGTTTAAGAATAAAGTTTGCAACATCTGTATAGTTTCATGTTTTTAAATTTAAGATAAATAGATTTGAAGTTTCTTTCAGGTCCAGGTTTGTGAGGTTCGGAGTCTTCGAATATCAGAGATATCCAGGTTTTACAGTTTTGAAAATCATATGTTTGTTTTGTTTGTTTCCTAGACCCAATCTTGATACACAACAGTATTGTGTTTCATTTTGAAGTTGACACATGAGCTATGTCAAGATTCCAGGCGAGGCCACAAAGCGTAAAAAGCTACCATTGCATATTTACAGTAAATGTAAAGAACTTAAAATCTTCATGAGAAATATTTCAAGGCAGGCATAGCACAATCAACACAATCAAAAGTAAACGTCCCGAAAGCATTCCACTGAAGCCAACAGCCCCGTTTCAAATGAAACTTTTTGTTGATGAAAAGTAGCTCATGGCATTTTTACAGTGAAAACAGAGAACCCTTTCGATGTAACCCGAGGTGGAGGCCAATACCTGCGGTAACAAATACTATGCAAGCAAAATCGCCTCGACTCACTCGGCTGACTCAGCCACTGCGCATGTGACATTGCACGAAACGGTCGAAACGAGCGAAGACATGAAGCAACTGCCTTTCCAGTTTTAACAGTTATTATGCAAAATAGTTCCACCACGGATTGGCTTGTTTACTTCTTTAACAGGGAGGCCTGGGAGAGGCTTTGTTACAACTATCAATTACCAATGCATGGTTGTTGGTAATTTGCAGCAGTTGTTAAGGTGGCCATGCAATCATACTTGAGGCTGTAGTTTTTTTTGCAGTTTCTATCTCTGTGGTGGTCTGGGCATCCCGGGGGAAGGAGAGAATTACAAAATATTGCAGCATATTGGAATCGGACAACGTGTGGCGCTGAATGCGTGCAGCCAGTGACGTTAGTGAGGAACCTTGCCGTAGGCCAGACCCATTAGAACTTTTTTAAAGTCAAAATAAATATTATAATTGGGCGAGCTGTTAAATTTTTTTATAAAAGTAGATTTTCTCGAGTATCAGAGATACACAAGAAATATTAAAAGTTTAAAAAGTATGTGAACACACAACGAAAAACGACACCTCATTGAAACGCAGCAGTGGAAAAGGCAGCACAGGCACACAAGCGGTTTAGCAGACAATGCACCTAACCACATTTTTTGTCGCTTTGCTCCTACATTGGCCTGTTGCATGCTTGAACAAGAGGAGGTCTTTGTTTTGTTTTTGTAACTTCAGTTTGGCTGTTTATAGTGTGTATTCGCTACTCAATTGTTTTTTTCTTTTATTCATGGCGAAAACAGCTAAAAAAAACAACAACCGCACCTCAACGTGGTGAATGATGTTGATTGGGGCGAAGCTCTGGTGGTGCTTGTCTGCATAGACGCTGAGCCGCAGCATGCCGAGCCTTTCATTCGTTTTCATCCATGTCGTGCTGCAGTCAAATGCTCAAATGCGTATATGACCACGTTTCATACCACACATTCTCTTTCTGACATGGATGAAAACGAAGGAAAGGCTTGGCATGCTGCGGCTCATTGTCTACGCACACAAGCACCGCCAGAGCTGCCCCAATCAACATCATTCACCACGTGGAGATCAGTTTGTTTTTTTCCCTACACGAGCACGGGAGCACGTGCTCACGTGCTCGTGACCCGACGGTGGACGGACATACGGACATGGCTAGCCCCTCAGGAGCTTCGCCCCTAAAACGAAAACGACGACAAGGAACAAACACGACAGGACGAAGCTGTTGTGTTTGTTCCTTTTCATTGTCTTCATTTTTGAGCTGTCTTCATCATGAATAACGTATACCAACTTACCCAAATCACTACCTTAGTACATTTACGTTGTTTTTTTGTATGAACATCACTGTTCAATAAATGTTCCAATAATTTAAGAATTTTCATGTGGTTTGCAGGTGCACGGGGGTCTGTTGTCAAGGTCAATGCACGCCTCCAAAGCATCAAGCCTCCGCACTGTATCACAAGGCTACCTCGTTCGATTGAGGAGCGCAGTTTCTGGAAGGCCTCCGAGTGGAAGCAATGGCTCCTTTTTTATGCCCTTCCATGCTTGCTGGACCTCCTTCCCCAACTCTACTGGAGGCACCTGTGCAAGCTCTCTGAGGCTATCCATATCTTGCTCCGTGATAGTCTTACGCTTGAGGAAATCAAGCGTGCAGGTGAGCTACAAATCATTATGGTGTCACATTGTCATATAAAAAGTTGCCACACTTTTGTCGATAGCTGGCATTTGCGACAAATAGAAAATGGTTGTTAAAAGATTGAAGTGAGGGTGCATATTGAAAACTTAAATCTTTTGATGGATAAGTATACATGGCATCATATGGTGATAGCACAGTGAGGCAAATTATAGGACCTGAGGTCCCATAATTGTGCAGCTATGTGCAGCGCAGCTGAAAAAGCTGGGGACGTAGAAAAGTGAACAGATTCTGTTCACAATGTCTTTTCTTGATTCGAGGTTTGTTCCGAGCTCACTGCAATCATAAACAAAAAATACATTTAGCACAGAAAATTGGCACACAACATGATTTCGTAAAAGCAAAATTAAAGAGTGCAATTCTAACAGTTTTTTGATTTCTCGGTAATTTAGTCAGGTCATCAACAGAAACGTAAAAGGGGAATAAGATACCATACGGTAACTTCCATAGGCAACATAATATTCTTCAGATGGACTACAAGTCTATAAATGCATGGAAAAGTTATGTGATTGAAATTGCCAACTCCGACATTAGGAACTAGCCTCTCATCTATAAGTCATTTGTCAAATCAACATAAACTTTGAAGCACTTGTTAGCCATCAGTAAGCTATCTTTTATCTTATGCTGTCACTTTTATGAGCTCATATTAAGTTTGTAATTTGACGTGTGCGTCCACAGGCCATCGAAGTGCTTTGTTGTCGTCGGTTCTGACAGGTATGAGCAAGCATGATGAGCCCACACCCTATGTACAACTTCCCCGGGCTTTTCTTGTAGGACAACTGTGCTGTGTTACTGTTTCGTTGATAGCGGTAAGTGTACAGTACAGACGTGTAGCTACTCATAGGTCACCATACCGGTATCTCGCCGTCGAGTTACTGCCTCCTTTCCAGCATGCTTGTGCTGTCGGCGTAGTGGCTGTATTGGAAGGCTCTCGACAAAAAAAAAATGCACCTCGACTGTACAAACGAACATCATTCCTAATCTCTTTCTCACCGACAAGAGAGCCTTGGTGACTACCCTTCACACTGCGTCCATTCGTAGTCAAATGTAACTGGAGCGCATGACTGTTTTGCTTCATGGAGCTGGGGACTGGTTGCAGCCAGCAAACACAATTGGCCTCATGCCAATTGGCTCATCTCAGTGCATGGGAGAAGTGTGGTGGCTTCTCGGATGTGATGCTGGCCAAAACAAAACATAAAATGCTTGGACACATAAAAAAAAGGAAAAAAAACATTCCGACCTTCTTTTTATGTCCATGGTATCTAATGTGCACCCGAGCCTGGAGACCACCTCACTCCCCTTGCACGCTTGATGTTTGGAGCTGCGTGAGCGATTAGCTGCACTGGCTGCTACCAGGGTAGCGCTTCGTGGAGGAAAGCGCAGAGCTGCACATTTTACTTAATTTGGGGCGTGTTAAGTCGGAGCTCCGGAGCGCTAGAGTTTGGGTCAAGGCACGGGATGCTTCTTCGCCCTCCATGACGTCACTTCCATGCAACATGGCCGTGCCGCTATGAAAGCTGTCAAGTCGAGAGAATGGTCGGATGGCTGTTCTTTTTCATTTGAAGAATGCTATGCTCAGCCAGTACAGACGATTCGAGTGGCAAGCCGAAACATCGACTAGCATTCTGGAAAAAAGGTTTTTTGAGTGTGTTGCCTGGGAACGAGTTGCATCCAATGTAGTACTGACGGCGGCAGTGTGCCGACAGAAAAGTCGAGACGCTGGGGCGGTCGAACCGCTGGCTATCTGGAGTTTAAAATTGCTTAGCCCAGCGAGTAATGACAATACGAGTGGCAAGCCGAAACATCAGTTAGCGTTTCGAAAAGGATTCTTCACGCGTCTCGTTTGAAAATGATTTAATGTGCAGTGTATTCAACAACGGTATTCTGATCAACAGGCATCGCTGCTCCCACGCTGCCAAATCGAACTTCTTCGATAAGTTTGACAGCTTCATCAGTAATCTAGCCGGATAAAAAAGAGCTTACTTTTTTTAATGTAGGTGGCACGGGCATTAATAAATCGGTGACGTCATTTTTTGCCTTTGTCAGTTAGGCTCCAAACTTTTCAGGAGTTAAAATGTTTATACACTTCTAGTGTCACTGTGTCTTTCAGTTTAATTGTCTGCCGTTGCATGGAGCAATCCAGCTATTGGGCTACATTAAATTATTTTATTTTCAGAATCATAGCAGCTTCTGCCACGTGTATGCACCACTGCATTGCACTCATAACAAAATGTTCATGACCGTACGACCAGAAGTCTCACTCGTCAATTCTTTTAGTGTGTCACCAGTGTCACGCTCTCGGTCGCTATGCTCCATTTAGCTACTGCACTCGGAGTATGAAACTCTGAGCGTTGGAGTAGGAGTGAAGAAGTACCGACTTAACATGCCCTTTGATTATGACTGTGCATGCTAAAAGCATGTACAGTCTCCGTCGATATGAAAGACCCACTGGGAGTGCGTGGCCGAGGCGGTGGCTTGGGGGGCGCTGCGAGCGCTCCGGGCAGTTCCATTCTGCTTCGAGGGGAGGACGCTCACTCGGGACTTGGCACAAACTGATAAGCGCGTCTCGCTTTATCTGAGCCCGAGTGAGCGTCCTCCCCTCGAAGCAGAACGGAATAGCCCGGAGCGCTCGCAGCGCCCCCGCCAGCCACCGCCTCGGCCACGCGCTCCCAGTGGGTCTTTCATATTGCCGGAGAGTGTACACTGTGGCAAGTCTAATGGTCGATGCTTAAATGCCATTAACTTGGAACAGTAACTGCATTTTTTTTTACTGTAGTGGAGCCAATTGGTTCATGTTATATGTCAAATATACTATTTCCTTATGCATTCTCAATGTTTCCTTATTATCAAATGAGGAGGTTGGCAATTTGAACAAGGTAACTGGATTCACTAAGTATAGTTGGTTCTAGCTAAGCTATATATACAGAAGCACTGTATCACTTTAATTTTTTCTTTTGTAGAAGAACTTCTCCACATGTTCGTGGGTCGTGTGGAAGCCCTCTGCGGAGTGACTGCCATGACCTTTAACGTGCACCTTCTTGTTCATCTTGCGAACTCTGTCCGTCACCTGGGGCCACTCTGGGCCCACTCAGCCTTCGTCTTCGAGGGTGGGAATGGAAAACTTGTGAATCTTGTGTCAGCAGCCAAGGGACTTCCTCAACAAGTTGTAGAACGTGTGGTGATGATGCAGGAATTGGAGCTTTTGCTTTCCACTCACAAACTGCCGGCAAGGGAGGAGCAGATCTGCCGAGGCTTCCTCGGTTACATGCCGATTCAAAACGCTTGCCGGGTGAATGAAACGACGACACTTGGCTGTGGGCAACCCGCCATTATGAGCAGTGAGGACACGTTTGCTCTCCAGCAGCACTTTGGAGCAACTGTAAGCAGTGCTACGGAGTACCAGAGATGCGTCATAAAAAATCAAGTGTACCATAGCACTTCCTACACAAGAGCCACCCAAAGTGACACCACTTTTGTCTCCACGCATGATGGACATTACTTTAAGATTTTGAAAATTGTGGAAGTAGTTTTGGCAACTGGTTCTTGCTGCGTCCTCCTTTGCAAGAAAGTGGTTCTGAGGGAATTGCAACAGCTTCCAGAGCACATCAAGGAGTGCTTTCTCTCAGAAAGAAGCACTGTTTGCTGTGTGGAGCCCTGCAATGTCAAAAGCAGCTGTGTTTACATTGAATTCATATCGGATAGCAAGTCCTTCATCTGTGACCTCCCAAATGTTATAGAGCGCGATTAGTTGGGTTCTAAACACTCGTTCATTTAAATTTGGCTAGCGAACCCCTTTGAGTGCTGCGCCTGAGTCACACTCTTATGTTCAGTCCTTGTACCCGTGATATATGTTTTGTTTTGTTTTGCGTGTGTCAATGAGGACAGGTTGATACTGTATATTTTGATCTTTCAAAGTCCTTTTGATGTGGTTGATTGTCAATTTCACATAAATTGAATTTTTATGGTATGTGCGCCCCACTTAGAACTTTCTTTGATTTGTCCTTAGACAGATGTGTGTTCTTTGACTGCACTTCCGACCTTATGTTTCAATTTCGGATGCGCCGCAGAGGCCCATGCATAGTCCAATTCTCCATCAGTGTTTTCATAATCACCTAAGTTTAATTGTGTTCAAATGAAAAACTGTTTTGGCAGATCACACTCTTGCGGAACTGTGAAATGCTTATGGATGTGAAATCAGTATGCGACATGGTGTTGTAGTAAGCTGATGCGCAATTTTTCTGACTTTTTTTGTTAATTCATTTGAACTTGTCCCTTGACCCACATAAAGCGTGCTGCAGTTATGGACGTTTTTATCTGAAGTTTGTAGAATTTAAACTGGTTTGACCTATTTCTGGGAAGAAAATATTAAAAGAATCATAAGAATAAGAATGCTGGCTCTTACTTTTTTGGATTGATGAAGTGTTCTCTAGCTAAATAAATAAAGCTGACCTTTCGTGTGGGCATTAATATGCCATGAATTCAGTTGCAAATAAGTTAGTAGTTTGTAGTACCATGTCTCCCTGTGACAATCGTGAGATGGTAGAACATATATGACAAATAAATAGCTTCAACACTGTTAACAGAACCGTTTGTTGCAATTTTATTTTGCACAGTGAAGGTTACGAATGACTGCGCTATCCAATTCGCACACCTCTACAAATAAAGTGAAAAAGAGGGGTCAATCTGGTAACCAGCTAGGCCAATCTGGTGACCAGTTTGGTCAATCTGGTGACCAGTTAGGTAAATCTGGTTACCAGTTTGGTCAATCTGGTTACCAGTTCGGCCAGTCTGGTGACCAGTTTGGTCAATCTGGTTACCAGTTGAACCAGTTCGGCCTGTCTGGGGACCAGTTTGGCCAATCTGGTGACCAGTTTGGCCAATCTGGTGACCAGTTTGGCCAATCTGGTGACCAGTTTGGTCAATCTGGTTACCAGTTCAGCCAGTCTGGTGACCAGTCAGGTCAATCTGGTGACCAGTTAGAAGGCAATCTGGTGACCAGTTAGATCAATATGGTTACCAGTTAGACCAGTTTGACTACCAGTTCCACCAGTTTGATTTCCAGTTAGACCAGTCTGACCAGTCCAAATACCAGTTTGACCAGTTTAAATACCAGTATGACCAGTTAGATTTTCAAACTGGTCTTTCCAATAGGGATAGAAGTTTATTAGACAGCTATTCCGTAAACAAGTACAAACTTACAAGCAATCCGTGATATGTGAAGAGGTATACGAAGAAGCTGTTACACAGCTGAGAAGATTAGTAAGCAAACAAGAAACGGAAGTGAGCCTTAGGTAGTGCCTGTTCTCCAAGCAGCCGGCAGACTTATTTCCACTATATTCCACCGGCAGTCGCCATTCATTCAACGCACGACGTTTCATCGACAGCTGTACCCGCGAAGTGACGTGTAAGGGGGGGGGGGGGGGGCAGGTTGGTTAACATTTTTGTAATGAGCGGCCGCAGACTGTCGCCACGAAGTGGCGTGAATGGGTGTGTTGAGTCAGTGAGCACGCGCCTCATAGATACACGCACGACAAAATGTCCCTGCAGCGTGCATTTCGCGCAACGAGTGACGATGAAACGTTAGTGTCGATGAAATGTGTCTACAGAACGTGTATCAACGAAAACGTGTTTTCACAGAACGCAAGGAGAATAAGAAAGTCAGTATTCTACCTGCAGTTGTCACATCATTGTCAGCTAATGGCAGCTACTGCCGATAAAATTTCGGGGAAATTATTTTCCCGGCTGCTAGGAAATAGGCAGTGCCTAATTCTAGAGGTAATCCGGAACGGAACGGTCAATTGTTGCAAAGGAGTAGGTTGCAGAGCACTTACGATGAAAATACCGGACTCGAGATATGTAATCCGAAATATATGTCGACACGGGCACTGCAGCACAACACAAACACATAAACGAAAGGAAAGGGGTCCGTGAAGATTCAACACGATGTGGAAGAAGCAGTGATTTGCCAAACCGAACACTAAACGCATCACGTGAATCCCTTGGGCTTTTATGAAAAAATCGCTTGTTGCCGATGTACGCGTAGGACTTTTCAAGCGCTGGAAATCTCGGTACACTCGAAAACGTTGTCGCGAACGAAATTTACGGCAGCCCCGCTGGTCACAGCACGGCACACAAGAAACTAGGCCGAAAGCAGACATTCCGAGGTCGGAAAAAGCTACTACGTCATCCGTGAAACCTTTACCACATGATCACGCTCCTGCCGTTACCCGCGCCCAGACAACGGAGTCGAGGGATGAAAAAGCCTCCGGTTCATTGGTCCGGCAACTGCGCAAATGCTTCCATGCTTTCAGCTTAGGGAGAGAAAGAAAAAGAAAATAATAGCTCCTTCAAGGTCAAAAGGGGGGCGCCCTCGCAAAGGCTTATCTTCTGGGGCAACCCATTAATGAACACAACGACAGGATTTGACACTTATATCCTCTTGGAAGTTCGACCCAAAGTTAATAGTGCAGTGGATGCTATCCGTGGCCTTGGCCTTCAGGCAGGTGCCGTGCTCTGCCTTATTTGTAGTTTGGAGACTGTAGTCACGCGATCCTACCTTGAGACCCGATTGGCCTAAAACAAGCATAGCGTCCACTCTACTGTCAATACCGAGTGAACAGGACAGCTCCATACTTCCTAAGAAACTGCCCAACCCAAAAATTTGAAGCCCAAGAGGGAATCCAAGCACAAGCTGATCGGCGCGCGTGGCTAGCGTAGGGGTGCACTGATACACCTAGAGGTTTTTAAGGGAGAGCTGGATGCTCATTGTAGGTGCACAAGTACACTGGCTGAGTAACGCAGGGTGCATCTTTCAGGAAAAGGGTGCATGTGCGCCCGATGCACCCGACTACACCCTTTTTTTTCAGAGTGCAGTAAAAATGTAACGAGTTCCCGTTCCAGTTCCACCGATACAAAATGGAACGGCTTCGTTCCTTCTTTTATCCTAAAAGAAACGCGTTCCAGAAACGCTGTTCCGTAGAACACTGCCTCGAATAGAGCGACCTGCTGCTCCATAAAACATGGAACGAACCAAGTGCTTTGCGTTGAGGGGGTTGTCTATTCATTTGCCCTTTCCTGTGGAAGAAATACGTAGAAAAAACTGGGCGTGTTATAATGACCGTCTTCGTGAACAAAAGACCAACATCGTCCGCCAGCTCTGGCCACTTGGGAATTCACAGTACGGATTGTGGTTTGTTGCTCGGCGTATTTCAACAACAGCACTATGTTAGGCAAAACCGTCGACCAACTGACGAGAGAAATGATCAAAGTCGAGAACATTATAGGAGTGGAGGACAAATGTTTTAGTACGCCGTCTATAATATTGTCACAAGAAGAGATTGATTATTTAGCCGCAAGTCTGTCGAGGCGCTAGAAATGGGTTTTTGACTTTTTATTTTTTGTCCTTTCTTTTCTATTTGAAAATCGTCTTAAACTGAAGTAGAAGTATAACAAGAAGTTTATCACGCAATACAAGGTTGCAAGGGGGCGCGATGTGAAAGTCTTGTTCTTTATGTGTTGAAAAGCTCGAGCGACACTTTTTTGATTGCGCTGTAACATCGGCTTTGTCGCAATAATGTGACGCCTGGGTCTCGCCACACCCTGCGTGTCTTTAGCTCGCAGTGGCCAGTGCCTGCTATGATTCTTGGGCGCCGCCATGTTTGTTTATGCTGACGCCATGACACAGTAAGAAAACTATACGCTTTTTGTAGAAACTTGTTGTTTTTTTTTGTTTCTTTTTTAGAAACCTTCGCACGTATTGTAGTGCCAGGAATGCATAGTCGCTAAGCTCCGACACACCACAGATGCCAAGAGTGCTGCAGAAAGCAAAAATATTGTTTTATACGCTGCCCCTCTCCTCACACAAGCCCGCGTTTGCGAATATTATTTCTCATTTTTATCGCTGGGGGCTAGGATTTCAGACGCTGATCTAAAGACCTTCGCAAAAATCGCCTTCTGAGCTCTGCCATCTTTGTCTGCTGGTTTGTATAACACTTTCTAGGCATGCGCTGTGCGGTATATATGATGGTGTCCAAGCGTCCACAGCTCAGTGACTCAGCGTTTGTCGCCCGGGTGATTAGCGATGCAAAGGTATATAGGAAGTATATATATTTTTTTGTTTCATGTTTATAGAAAACTTTTTTAAACTCATCTGATACGTTTCTTGGCAGTCATGCTTTTTGAATTGGACATTGAACAATAGAACAAACAGTACGCCCACCCGTACGCCAGCAATCGGCTGTTGTACATACGCAAAAAAACAAACGAGTTTCTGGCATGGCGAACGCGATACGCTTGTACGGTTTCTGCAAAGGAGGGAAAGAATGTTTAACGAACTCCGTAGACTTGTGATGCTGGCGCTCTTTGATTGGCCACGTCGCTCCCTTCGGATCATTGTGCTTTCGAACGAAGAAGTCACCGCTAACGTCATATATCGCAGGCGAAGCAAACAATCCTCCTACGCCCAGTTTTTGATTCTCGAATCTCACAACACTTTTTTTTTATGTATATCTTTAACATTCAAGAATCATAATCGCAAGGAAGATGCATTAATTTTTGCTATTTCAGTGTGACCCCTGTATTTTTTTCTATTTTTTTAGGTGCATTTTTATGTGCACCTAAAATATGTCCGGCCGCAGTAGCCGACGCTTAAAACCCGATGGAGACAATCAAGCGGCGCCATAAGTGCCTCGTCATGCTTGTCTTTGCGGGTCGTGGATTTATTTATAATCAACGGCCAAATCAATCACG